AACAAAAATGAAACAAGAAACACACACACACACACACACACATATATATATATATATATATATATATATATATATTTTGAACAATTGAAAACGATAATCTCAAAATGAACATTCTATGCAACTTATTATCCCCACAAAAGCACCAAAATAGAAGGGTATATGATACCTTTCCTTTTTTTAAGAGAAAATGACAAAAGTGGTAAAAGTGAGTAATGAAACCTATAACTAAATTAATAAAATGAAAAAAAGTCATAAATACTTTAAATTAAATTATTTGTGTATCTATCTAAAGTTAATCAAGTGACATTATTAGAGTCAATTACCATATATTCAAAGTATTATTTATTTTAGAGTTTTGACTCTCATAATTTTGTTGTTTTTAAAAGACATAGAAAGAGGAAGAAATATCTAAACTTAAATCTCAACTTTTAAACAATGTGATGTTATTAAATATAATAAGAATAATTTGATTTAATCTATAAAATAAATTTGAATTAATTTTAGTTTAAAATGTCTTATTGTGAATAAAAGGAACTTGGGTCCTTTTTAATCACATGTTCCTATATAAGTTCCAATATTGAAAAGAAATTCCTAGGTAAAGTACTTAAAGATGATAATTTCTAATTGATATATATGTTTTTTTGTTGAGAAAGTTATACATATGAGTGACTACTTCACAAATATAATTATTGTAGAAACCATAAGAGGTTTAAATTGGTTAGGAGACATAAGAATTAAAGTTAAACAGAACACAATATGGGTTTCAATTTTCTTTTTAAATTAAGAAAACAAGCACAACAAGAAAATTAAGATTATGAATTAATAAAGAGTGTGTTTGTTTTCTTCATACCCTTTTCCAATTATATGTTAACAACACATCACACACACCAAAATATTTTTGGTTTAATTTCATTCAATTTTATCAATGATTCCAAAGGGTATCCATTCAGTTTAGCTTATTTTGTCTACCAAATTTGATTATTTATTTAAATATATTTGAGGAAATTAAACATTTAGTCATAATTAAGAATCCTAATTATTTAGGTAGCAAAAAACTCAGCCCTACGAATGAAAAGTTCTAATACCATACACATAACTTAAAAATGTTTTAAAACACATAAGAAAAATTGTAGTTCAGATTACTCCTAAAAATCATACTACAATTAATGAAATTAAATTTAAATTACTCATTAATTTATTTATTTAATCTTAATACAATTTTTTTTAATTTTTTCTAAGTTATGTATAAATTAATTATAACTCGAATCCATTGTTTTCATACTTTTCTCTTAGTCTTTTTAAACAAACATGCCACGCTATATTTTAACTATAAAAATTAATTTCCATCCAAATAAATAATTTTGACAACACCTCTTAATTAAAAATTATCTAATTTACACTAGTATAAATTTAACTTCGCAATACCTTAAGATAACTATTATCAAAACAAACATTCGAAAACTTTATTTTAATAATTTAATTTTAAAATAAGAAAAATATTAATGTTACGGTAATTAATTATCGAATGGTTGTTTTGTTTCAATACATTTTCATTGTCGTAACTCATCTCATCTATTCAACAACAAGAAGGCATGACTAACTTTTTAAGATAATTTCACAATTAAAATAAGATAAAATATAATAAGCTGATAAAAAAAAGTTACGTAATATAAACGAAAATAGTTTATATATACTGAATAGAGTTAGCTATTATACATATAATAAATTTATTAAAAATAATAATCTTAAAGTCAAATAAGTAGTAATTTATAATTATTAAACGTTAATAAGTAGTAATTTAAATAAGTTTATATTTTTTTCTCTCTCTTATCACTATTACAAGTATTTCTAAAAACATATTAGTTAAAAATCTTACTTCAAAGTTGAATTACTAAATCATTTTTTTATGAAATATTTTAGTAAGATTTAATTAAGTTTTAAATTTTAATAAATTTAGATATTTTGATTTAAGTCTTTATTATAAAAATATCTATTGAGTATAGACAAATTTTATATTTTTAAATTGAGTCCTTATATTTTAATTTTTTTTGTTATTATTTAAATAATGTAGCTGTTATCTTAATTCCTTATCTTGATTATTATTTTTTATGTATTGAAAAATGAGATTTTATAATTATAAAACAATACCACGTCATCTAATTTATTAGTTACAATTATCTACATTAATACGAGAATAAACATGGAAAGGAAAAATAAGAAAGGATTAGAAGAAAGCATCTCATATATAGTTAATTATTTCTTTTAAAAAGAATACATGTTTTAAATTTTGAATGACAAATTGATTGCCATTTAGTAAAACCATTTTGAAAAGAAGTGTGGAAAGAATCAAACAAACCCTAATTTTCAATGCTTATAAAGATAATTTTCTTAGACAAAACAGCAAAGGGGTCTCAAATTTTCAAAGATGACTTGGTCATGGTTATGAAAATTTAGAACCAAGACCCACATGAGATCAAACAAGGATGAATTATTTGGCCTTAGGAGAAAAGAAAAGAATAAGCAAACAAGAGCTCTTCTTTATTTGTTCCAAATTCCAATTTTTCTTAGTTAAATTTCAAAGGGGGACAGGAACATGAATGGTCCCCTCCATCATCTCTTAATAAGAGAAAGAAAAAAATTTAATAAATTTCTTAATAATCTTATATTTTGGAGACTTGAGCAGTTTAAATATTTTTTTATTTTATTATTTTCAAACGCTTTTCAAAAACAAAATTACAAAATTTCATGTTTTAAAATAGACAATATTTAAATATAATTAACTCTAATAATAATACTCAATATAATTGGAACATTTTATATATGAGTAATGGTATTATAATGTATTTTTATATTCATTTTGACAAAAAATATAAAAATAAAATAATCATAAAAATGTAAATTTTTGTATTTTTTTAAGAAAGAAAAAAATAAAAAATAAGAAAGAGTTGGAATGTAAAAAAGTTAACTACGTGAAATAATAATTTTTCTTATGTTTATGTTACTTAACTTTCTATCTTTACTAAATATAACACTTAGAATTGTCCTTAAATTCTTCAATCGTATATCAGATTTTATATAACATCATTCAGCACATCTCTTATTTTAATGAAGAAATCTGACAACACCATATTAAAACCTTCATACGGTTACTTGTATCTGAGATAAAACTAATTAGGAAACAGACCTGATCTTGGATTGAGAAGTTAAACTATGTACAAAGGCAATGGAAGGGGAAAAAAAGAACCATGAGAGAAGAATAATAAGGTTTCTCACAAGGACCATTGTTTCTAATGTAGCACATTACAGAATTCACATTATTCTATTGTAAAAGCTAAAGCATTCCACCTAAAAGGCTTTCTGATAAATCCAAGATTCCTCACTCTGCATCTTCAGTTGCTTGTAGAAGTTCCCAATGAAGGCCTCAGCTTTTGCAAACAGTTCTTGCCCATTTACTCCTCCAATCTCCTCTTCTGCTTCATCTTCTTCTTCCACTTCTTCATCACCTTCTATCAAGAAAAGGCTACCCATTGGAGCACACTTTTGCATCATCTCCACTTTCCTGCCACAAACAACCCTTTCAGATGCTGATTTTTCATCATCTTCTGAGAAAGGAGTGGAATTGGAACCTTCTCTTTTCTCAGAACTTGCTTCTGATGCCATCACAGAAGCAGCTTGCTTTTTATCTTCCAAAGGCCTGGGAAAAACTGAAAGGAGTCCAGCTTCAGCACAAAGTGACATGATCAGGAAGTTTATGATGAAATACAAGTAGGTTGACCTGAGTGAGGAAGGTAAATAGGGTGTGATGACAAGAAGAACAACTAGAACACACAGCACTAGAACTTGAGATTTCTTGAACTTGTTCATCATGGCTTTGGGAAATGAGAGAAAAAGTTATGAATGATGAGAAAGAAGAAGATGAAGTAGAGGTAGATTGAAATTGGAACTAGTAGGAATAAGTGTGGGGTTCTGAATGAGCATATATAGAGGAGATGAAAGTGATGAGTGAGGTAAATGAGAGGAAGAGAGAGAAGGAGAAAGCATGGAAACTATGTATTAGTCAACAAAAAAGTACTCATAAAATTTTGGATGCTGAAAATTCTAAGAAAATTCTCACACAGAGAAATATCGTTGTCAGTTTACGAAAAGTTAACAGCAATATAAAGAAGGTGAATTACTCAAACAGTTTGTGTGCAGGATCTGTTCAAAAGATGCAGTGTGTGGATAACACAAAGCCACAAATTAGTTAACACTTGGTCAGTCACAGTCATGAATGAAGTAAAGAAAAATAAAAAGAACTCAATATCCAATCTGTTTACTTTTTAGTGAGACAACTACTACTTGCCAAATAGAAGTGCTTCTAAATCACATGGTAAGTGTTAGTTTTAACTAAAATTTTAAGACTTTATAAGTTCACTGAATTTTTTCACTGATGTGTTACTGTTAACTTATTCATTGGTAAACAATATCAGCATATCTTAGACTCAGCTTTAAACAACTATTAAAGTTCGCTTATATTCTGATCCAATAGATATACTAAAAAATAAATTAATAAAATTTATTAAATATTTTCATTATAGAGTAGTGCAAACTTAAGTCTATTTGAACCATATCTTCAAAATATCGACATTTTAGTGTTATGGTTACTATTTATTATTTTGTTATTATTAATTATAATATTATTATATATTTGAATTATAATCATTTTTATTTATTACAGTCATAAAGATTTTAAACAATTTTACTGATTTGTCACAAGTAGAATCTTGCTACTGTTTGCAAATTCATGTTCAAGATTAAAGTAACAACAACTTTAAAATGTAAAAGTTTATATTCGTATGCAAACTAAAGTTAATATTATATAGAGTGAACGCTAATCATTTTATAAATTCAAGTAAATTGTTTAAAATGTAAACAGCAATGTTTGAATAATTGAAAGAAGAATATCTATCTAAATCTGATCTGTGACAATGTCAGATAAAACCAATGGAATGGCAGATAAGAATTTTTAAAGTGGGAATGACTTTTTCCCTTTGGTTGCGATGGCATAGGTTGTGATTAAGTCATCGATGTGCATGACCACATCAGAAAGAGATTATTAAGATTGAGAATTTGCCTTTGGCTCTAAAGTGTGACAAGGTGACGTTAGAGCCACTCTGATGAATGAGGTAAGTAGGGTCAAGAGAGAATGCAAGATTGCAAGACACAAATAAATATCAAACACATGATTTTGGACAAAAACTCAGTTCTTCTTCATATCATTTTTACTTAAAAACTGTTTTTTATTATTTTAAGAAACTATGGAACATGCTCCAGTGATAAAAACAGCATCTGACGTGTGAATGAATCGAAACAAAATGTTTTAATCTGTGTTTTTTCGTTTACAGAACATCTGCTTTAACTACCAAGTTTAAGTTGTTAAATGAAGTGGAAAGAAAAACTTTGAAGAATGGATTTTTAGATTAGGATGTTCATTGTTTTGAAAGATGGTGAGAATCTTTGTAGCATTTGTAAAAAACCAAAGTTTGAATTAGTGGGATAGTGGTCCCAAGAATAAGAATTGGGTTCTGTGTTGATGGGTGGAGTGTGAAACACGGTTCATTCACCCACATGAACCCTAATTAAGACCTAACTTGTAATTTTAGAAACTTCTTCTATGGCTAAATAGGGAAGTTAAAGGTCAATTTGGATGTTTATAACTCTCACTTTCTTTTTGTTCTTCGCTTCAAAGAGTGGTTTTCAATTAAATTCAATGAAAAAAAAGTTTGTTTCCATATAACATTAGGAATTTAAAGTGTGAAACCATCTTTGATATGAAAACTAATTTCAAAATCATCTTTCCAAAGATACACTAGTGCAGTTAGGGGAAACAACAACAGTTATTTTCACAAATAGGCAGCAGTTCTTGAACTGAGACATATCCAGACGAGGTCGGTTCAGAACCGAGGTATAAAATGGTAGGATTTTGCCTCGATTCAAAGTTAACTAAAGCAGTAGATTTTTTATTTTTTTAATTTTTTTCGTACGACTTTATGTCTCGGTTCCCTCTGAATCGAGGCAGTATGTCCCCCTCTACTGCTTCGGTTGGCAGCTTAACCAAGGAAGTATAGTTCTTTTTTGTTTTTTTTTTCTTCATCCGCCAGCCTTTCTGCCTCGGTTGTGACCTTAATTGATGCCATAGTGGTGTTTTATGCTTCGGTTATGGTCTCAACCGAGGCATATTCCCCTGATTTTTTTAAATCAGGTCTGTTTCTGCTACATTCCCAATTGCAAAAACATACCTGCATATAATTTTACAGCCAAAACAATCCAGAATAATCCAGAAGCGTATATTTTGAATGAAAATTATATTAAAACATAAATACATTCAATGTAATCATAAATCAACTTCTTAGAAGCATAAATGAATCCAATGTAAATCATAAATCAACTTTGAAGCATAAATCAATGCAATGTACAAAGTTAAACTAATAATAATGTACAAAAGTATAAAACAACTTAGAAACATAAACGTAGAACTTACCATATCATAATATCTACTACATACTATTATATCCTAATATATCCTACATACTATTATATAATTGAATTACATATTTAGCCAGTGTTTTCCTCACGAGCTTAAGTGACTTCTCTAGAATTGGAGCAGTCATATTGAATCTCTGCATTAAACACAATGATTTCAATTAGTGTATATGAAATCTAAACTATAGAGAAAATAAAATTCAATCCTAAATATTCCGTTTGTCATCCACTGGTGTAATGTGCACGAATAATGGTCATCATCCAAAACATGACGTAGTAACCACATTCATATGACATCGTTTGTCTATTACACTACAATATATAATCATAATTATAAAGTGTTAAGTAACATCATTGGAATCGAACAAAATGTAACAAAGTATGGACTAAAATACCAAATCTTAAGGGCAATCCATGCAAGCTTTTTAGTTGTAGCAATAGATCTCCCAGATAACATCATATGTGTTGCAAGAGAACTATTAAAAAAAATTGTTTTAGCATACATTTATATAACAAAGAAAGTTGAAACATTGAGGTTCTTACCAATCTACTACATGTCTAAGAGGGATGGGAGGAGACTTGTGCAATGAACAAAACCAAACAACAGTGTTCTCCGGTATGGAGATCACAAGTAGCTGTCAATGACGCTTGAAATTGGTAATAACTTAATTGTCATATACCAAAATTAACAAACTTCACTTACCCAAGTATATAAGGCAAAAAATATATCTCCTTCCCCATTGCAAAGCAGGTAGTGATGTATGTTTGGATATCATCAAATTTATTTCTTTCATGAGTCATAGAGGGGTCAATGAACCCATATACATCGTTGAACCCCTTCTTGTTACAAACATCAAACATATACCTAAAATGAAGAAATAATCTATATAAGTAACTTGATAAAAATGAATTACATAAAAAAGTTCTCATAAACTTACATCATCCACAGCTGAATGAGTGTAATATTAATTTCTTCTCTCCCCGATGCAAGCTCCGTAACAACATCTTATTGATGCAAGAACAATGGGATTTGAGCTTCTCTTCCAAATGTAGTAGAATCCCACTATACAATCATTGGTGCATCTGAAATGATGTTAGCAAGCTCGCCTAACGCACCAAGAGGGTTGTCCTCAGATAAATGAGTCTTCTTCAATGTAGGACTTCCCTCTTGACGTGTCTGCTGTTACATGAAAAAATGGTTATGTTATGACGCCAATTAGAAGTAAATATTAAAATTGAGAAGTATATAGTAGGAGTGTTTACCGGGGGATCAGATACATCACCAACCAAATGTCTAGGCCAGGCGACATAGGACTTAAATGCCTCTTGCATAATGAAAAACTCATCTGTAGGCACAGGAAGAACGACATCTAGTACGACAACTTCATCCACTATGACCTTGACCTCATCTTCTGCTAGTTGTACACCATGCATTAAAGTAGTTGTCTCATAGACTATGCCACGAGCCACTAGCATGGTCCCGATATTAGAGAGAATATATAATTGACATGGACGAGTGTCGTCCATGTCGTCCCCTGGGATACCGGCAGCTGCGCAACTTCCTTTACCGCTTTTACCTGTAAAGTCCATTAAAATTATCCATTTTAATAAATAGTAATATTTTTAGTAGTAATAAATTTCTTTATGAATGGAAAATATAACTAATAAGCTTATATACAAAATAAAATGTGATAAGTTAAACAAAAATTTACAGTAACTCAAATGATAAACACCTTGTAACACTTGAGACATGGGTTCAAACCTAGTAAAATACATTTCTCCAAAAATATATTTTTTTATAAAATAAATAAATTAATTAAAAATAATAATAATTAAATAAATAAATAAAGGGAATTGGAAATAAGAAGTGGACAAGAGACTTTCGGTGCTGATTGAATGAAGAAGAAGACAAAATAACTTTAGGTGAATAAAATTCTTTTATAAAAAAAAAATCCAAATAGGACCAAAATTTTGGCCTATAAATACCAAGCAAGGGGGAGGGGGATTTTGCAGCAAGAAGTAGAGAGAAACCATAAGAAAGAAAGATTAGGAAGAATTTAGATTAGGAAGGATTTTAGTGTGGAGATTCTGGAAGTTTTCCAGGAACACCCTCTGATCAAGAAACCAAGTCTGGAACAGATGTAGGGGGAGCTAACCTTTCTAAGCTTTTATATTATGATTTAGTATTGTTCTATTACTATTCATGTCTTGAAATTCTGTGTGAATATTGTTAATGAAAAACATATGTGCTTGTTGTATATCTAGCTATATTGAATTTTTGTGTTAATATTATATGCTATTGTTTTGAATCTGCAAATAAGAAATTTTTTAAAAACTAGTTGAGGAACACTTTGGATAAGGAAAGACTTGGTACTTGTGACACACCTCTCTTTCCTGGAAGTCTACTCGATAGGTTTTTAACTTAAATCTTATTGAACAGATTAAGTATTGTTAA